TTTGTAGAGGACTACAAACTTTGATATTCCTACTATCGATGTGTCCCAATACAAATGGGCTTCAGTTTCGGTGACTCTTTCTTCGTGTAGGTTGATGACTGAAAAAAGTTTAACAATTTCGGATTATGGATAACCTTTTGTATCAAAGAACTGATATAGCTTAGTCTGATCTATTTGCTATTAATAGACTTTTACGAGCAAAAGAGCATAACATTTTGAACATTTTTTTTAAGTTAACGAAAAAAGTTCGTGCTTTTTCTGTTGTCAAACTCACGAAAGCAAATGCGATGATTTTCCGGGGTGGGGGAACTCCCATATTGACGGGCAGGGATGCTCGTCGTATCTTTTAGGGGTAAAAATCGAGGATCTGGTATCTTTTAGGGTGTCTAAGAGATTTTGGGTCATTTTAATCCAAGCTGGTATCTTTCAGGGTACTTTTTTAAGATAATAAGATATAACCTAACAATAGCGCAATGACAACTTTAATTGGCTTTAATCGTATAAGTTCAAAACTATAAATTTGTTTAATTTCAGCTGGCATCTTTTAGGGGTAAAAATCGTATGCTGCCACGCCCACCTTTGTAAGACTCATTCTGGAAATTTCAGACGAGCACCCACCACCCAGRGTTCCCCTCCCCCGGGGATGATTTGCTAAAAACAATTCTATGCTGGCTACATTTTTTACTTTTCACATGACAACACCAACACCAACACCAACAACCACAACTAATGCTAATATCACCAGTACCACTACTACTACAATTAATGCCAACACCACTACCTTCACCATTACCATCAATTACCAGTTAACGCCACCGCAACATGCCCCTGTGGGCTTTATTTGTTTATAAACATATCAAACAAATTCAACAAAATTACCATTTCTAAACATCTCAAGTTTTCTGAGCCAAAGGAGACAAATGATAAGCCATAAGGATCATTGGAGATGACACCTAGATTATTTTTTAATTTAAAATCAGCATATCCACAATCACGGTAATCGATCCTGTGATGACCCCATAGCTATACCGTATTTCGCCTATAAGCTGTTATCTCTATTGGCCCCGACAACCCGTTTTTGAATTAGCTGTGTAGCAAAAGATACCTTTTGATTTTTCCTCAATTACGAAGTAATTTGCATG